TATATATATATATATATGGATGCACGATAGGTTGTCGAGAATGAAGATGTATTGTAGGATAGACAAACGGGTGTCTGGAGGTCCTAATGATAGCATCCGAACGCAAAGCGCACTGAACTTTGTCCGATGATGCGGCCGATACAAGAGCGGTAAGTCAAGTTCGTACCAAAAGGTTGTTACAGTCCCCTTTAACGACAGATCCGATAGCAAAGAAGGGATTGAATTGTTACCTCTTATCTGATATATTTTTCTATTCAGTTTTGGTTATGTCGCCAATTAAACTTTCCAGGCAAGATATTCAACTGCCATTTTAAGTCACAGTTGGATATGCGTAGTAAAGTCCCGGAATAAAACCCCTAATGGATCGATGGTTATAAACCACTGATGAGTCTTAAGGCGAGCAAAATCTGAGGCCTGTATTTACTGAATATACAAGTCAGAAGTAAAATGCAGAGATAAATTAAGTTGTACTCTTGCTCCACTATCTAATCCAAATTTTCACTATCCTATCACCCCTAGCGATCCACGCCGAACACAAGCTCCAATGAGAGCAATGATGTCAAAGATCAATCTCCCACTCCTAAGCGCAGTCCAGTTGTGATTGTCTGCTGTGTCGGTCGAACATGTCGATCCAGCTCATTACAGGCATTTCTCGTTCGCATGTTGGAAGAAATCCTCATTGAATACGAAGAAACCGAACAGAGCGGATTAAATATTGGTCTGGGTACTTTGTGTGAATATGCGGAGGCCGTATATGCTTTCCAACGCGTGCTTACTTTGGTCACCGCAGAAAAGCCACTCCTGATAGTTTTGGACGACATTGATGCTGCCTATCCACAAGAGCATATTGAACAGTTTCGTTGGCTTCCTCAAAAACTCCCATCTCAGCATATTCGTATGCTAATGACCACTTGTTCCGAAAGTGTTGTTCAAGGATTTACCAACCGATTTGGCACCGGATGCTGCATCAATCTAGCTCCTTGTTTTGATTCGGTTCGTTTTTCCACCAATCTTTTACCTCAGTGGATAAGCAATCGAGCACAATCGAAGCAGTGCAAACTGAGCACGAAACAGGAGGAACTGGTAAGTGAGGCGGTTAGTCAGAACATGAGTCCATACTATTTGGACACGATAGCTGATATTATGGCAGATATACAGGACTATCCGGACGAAGTGGATATATTGCCGGATCGATTGTCCGGTGATTTGTCTGAATTATACACCATTCGGCTCAAACAACTCTATCGCGTCCGGTTGGGTCGAACAGCGGTTCTTCGTGCTCTGTTTCGAATGAGTGCATACATCGCTTGCTCTCGTATTGGACTAACTCTTGTCGAACTGCTTGACCTGCTTCAGGCGGATAAAGAGGTGCAAACTGAATGTAGACGAGCAGGACCATCTGGTACTGAATTGAGTCGTTTCCCTACCGGGTGTCTGCTCGAATTTCTCCATCGTCCCGAATTGGGTTTCGCCAAATATTTCATCGTGATTCATACGGAAAGTCGAAGTGTGATTGCCTTTCGGTCGAGCGCGATGCGTCGAGGTGCTTTGGGATTTTGGACAGCATCCGTGAAAACCGGTATAAGTGATGGACCGAATGAAAACGGAGATGATGACCAGACAGCCACGGAAACAGATTTCGATCCGAAACAACAACAACAACAACAACAACAACAACAACAACAACAACAACAACAACAGCCCCAATCACAACCTCAAACACAACAGCAGCAGGCTCGTAGAAATCAGTCAGGTGTGGCTAAAATACGACGATTTCATAATACTTTGGCGGATTATTGGAAAGGGGTAGTGATCAGTACATATAACTCGGAGGGAACAGTGGAACATGGATCTACTTATGGCACCTCCAACAATTTCAATACTCGTTATTTTTGGGAATGCTTGCGTGACATTTCTTTGCCTAAACAGAACCAAGGCAAATCCACACCGGGTGAGAGTGTCCAACGCATCTGGTTTTGTCATTGTCGGCGATTGACGGAGTTACCCTTTCAATTACTGCAATGCGGATCGGAACGAGTGAAAGAACTGTATCGAAATGTACTATTTTCCATAGATTACATGGTAGGAAAATTACTCTACACGCATCATACAAACGACCTGATCGCTGAGTTGTATTACCTAAGACAACTAAACGAAGTTCGGGCTTGTGATGAATTGAACTACATGCTGACTTTGTTGCGAACCCTAACGCAATGCCTCACTCAGTCACCTTCGTTACTCGGTGTGGAATTAGCAGGGCGTATTGGACATTTGGTCGGTTCGGATTATCCCTTATTGGGACGTGTTCTGCTCTCCAGTATAGACCAATCTGCCTCTGAATACAATTGTCTAGTACCCCTAATTACCACATGCTACACTCCAGTACTCCATCCGGAACGCCTGACTGTACGCTACACAAATCCGGACTCGCAAAGCTTGATCGTCTTAACACCAGATCAACGGTTCCTATTTACTCTTAGCCCCACATTTTCTGATACCAATGCAGAAGTGATACTTACCCTGTGGGACGTGATCACGTTGACTAAATCCACTGTGGTCAGTATCGGTAGTTGGCCCGGTCGTCATTTTCTAAGCGCACATTTTCCCGCACAAATAAATCATCTCGTCCTGGTACAATACTTAAATGAAGAGACTAGTGAATATGGCTATGTGGTGGTCGATCTTGACTCAGGCTCCATTGATGGTGAAATTAAGCTACCCAACCAGATTCGCCCGGAAATGATCAGTCTGACACGTAGCAGTGCTTTGATTGCCGAATGGGATCAAATCCTGGAGACCACCAAACCAGATAATGTAAGAATTGAACCTTGTGCGACGGCCACAGTCTATTCGCTGAATACACTTAACCTTCAGACAAAGCACCTCGCGCGAATTCCCACACCATGCCATGTTCTACCACGTGAACGATTCTGTATTGGACCGTCTCATTGGATCTATACTGGACAGTCAACCAGCGAGAAAATGACCAGTTCCTCCAACACAGCCACAAGGGACAAACGAGCAAACTGGTTACAGGTGCGACAATTTCACACGCCGGGAAAAGTGGCCGCTTGGCTTGACTGCCCCTATCCGCCTGTGGTGATACAAAGTAACCTGCCAAGTGAACTGGTTTACGTGGGATGTTCCCGATTTGGACATATTTGTCGATTCGATTTAACTCAGGTAAGTTTGGTGTTTGCGAAAACCCAACAGCATGAGGCATTCATTGGTTCACAAAATTTTGTCCGCATATCGGTTTTTTTTCTGTTCCCATTTCATTCGAATCCGAATTCATAGTGTATTTTATAGAAGCAGGTAAAACATACTCGGACCGTGAACCAACCGATTGCTATTCTTGCTGAAAATCCTTATGCTGCAGTTGGTGGTTTTTGTTTGTTAACATAACAAAACGGTTATATCTGATTGAGATGTGAAAACGAAAGATGTAAACAACACGAAAGACCGTTCGAGTGAATTCATTGAAAAAGATCCCAATAATTAGACAAATTGAGTAGTAGTGCATACGTATTTGTTTGACAGAATCTTAATTTTTCGGAGGAGTGGATAAATGGCCTTGGTTGCTTGATAAGGTCACTTGAAACTGACCCTTTTTGAAATTTATTCTGTGGATGAAATTGTTCTTGAAATGAAAATCAATGTAATTGCAATCGTCGTCCACGTTTGAAATCATTTTGATCGAATTTTCACCCATGAAGACTACGGTTGAGTCACACTTCCCATTGTGTGACTCATCTGAATCAGTAAGACCGCCTGCTTCATAATGAAGTGAGCAATACACGCACATTCTCTCCACAAGGTCCCAGATTGTATCATCTGCACGAAGCGATGAGGTAAATTTGGTTAATGCATGAAAGTAGAATTCCAGGATAGTGACTCTGAAGGCCTATTGCAAAGAGGTGAAAATCGACCGGCAGGAATCATTTTGCACGGGAAATCAAGTGTACCGCCTTCAGATAGATCCAATCGAATCTGCATTTTGTGATCGATAGTTAAATGGCAAAACTGGTTGTCTATTTCGGTAAAACCAAACGAAATAGGTCACCAGTTCGATACATTAGACAATGGTAGTAGAAACGCATCTTGCCAGAGTAACTTATTGATATTAGGTAAAAAGCACTAATGGAATTGAATTCGCCACTAGAAAAAAAATTCATGAAAAGCGGTCACTCAAACATCAATATTGCAGACCATTTCCTATCAGTGAACTAACCTATTGGATTCCTGTGCACCACATAGCAAGCGAAGGAGAAAAGGCACTCCATAGTTTTCACGTATGTATGCAAAAAAGACCACATGTGTGTTTAGTAGAAATAAGGTCCTTTGATTTTTCTTTCTGTGATCGATCAAATAAAATTGATTTTCACACCAACAAATTATGTACCCACAATTTACTTCTTCTCATGTGTCGTACAATCTTCCCCAATTACTGGTAAACCTGAGTCTATTGATTTTTTCGCCTGGGGATTTCTAACGACGTTTTTCCTACTCTTTTTCCACGCTCTATCGAATAAATAAAACGATACAGTTCTCAGGTATGGGAAAGAGACCAATATAAGGGTTGCAGAGTAATTTGCTGATTTCTGTGATGTTGGAAATAAGGTCCTAGACTATGGAATGTCTATGCCTGTAACAATAGAGTTTCAGTCGAACAGTTTTTTTCAGTAATCCAGCTGCTACAGCTCATATGAGAAGACAGAATTTCGCATATTGGGTCATTGCGTGCGTTTGCATATGTATTTCACGCGATCACTCCGGGATTGCAGTCGTGACACAGGTCACGCGAGTCACTTGCGAGAGGTCACTGTTAATGTTCGGAGTCTGAGTAGGGGGGAGGGAGGGTGATAGTGGTGTTCTTCAGTTCGCTTTCTTGACTTCAGGGTTAAACCCACATAGTTCAGGATTGAAGCGACCGTACAGTATTTTCGCTATGACGATCTGAGCCGGTCCAAGGCCGTCTAACAGGCAGAGCAATCAGGCATCATCACTATAGTCTATCCTTGAACACTGATGCCAGAAACCTGTATGAATATTGTACTGTATTAACTAGCAAGCTTCGCATGCATGACGCTTACGCCTCAAAGAATAACACTGCTTAGCAATTTTCGTATCCTAGTGGCACATGTCCCAATTGTGGAGATAGAATGTAAAAGAACGTCTTTGCTACTTGGGTCGGAATGACAATAAGAAGTGATCAAGTATATCTGATGCACAAAACGATGATTTAAAAGATCAATGATTACTTGCTTGTTCAACACGGTAGCGGTGACAGGCCCTTGTCAATAACTGAGTGATCAATTTCGAAATTAAAATATCCTGGGATAAATAGGAATCACTAGAAACAAAAGAACGAGGGTAAGGCGAGTGTCCATATATAATAGAATTAATCAGCGCAGCAACGGTATTCAACGGTAATATCAGTTTCCTATCTCACTAAATTCAAACACAAAGAATTAGTGAGCCTCAGGGCAAAACCAAGCTACATATTTATTATCCCACTTGCATTGTCCTCATAACTTGATTGTGATTGGCTGAAATTCTGGTTCATGTAACCGCCGCCTCATTTATGTCAACAGCTACTTAAAACGTTTGTACTGCCACTTGCACACCGTCTGCCATCAAACTGGCTGTTTTTTGTGTATGTAAAAATTTTTTTTATATCAAAGCATATCCATTTATGATAACGGTTCATTTCGATTTTCATTCTCCATCACATTTGTTTGATTGACTAGGTCACACAGAAAGGAGTTCGCCGCTTGCCACCCACATTGGAATTGAGCTTGGACGTTGGTGTACGTAAACTGTTGTCGCTAGAGGAGGGAATGGCAATCACCAATGTGGTTCCACCGCAACTGGCATGGGACGTGGATACAATCAAGCGTGTCTTACAATTCAGACAGGTAATACAAGCTGTACGCATGTACATGACTCCGGATGATCGATATCTGGCTGTGCTATACCAGGTGACTGACAGTCAGTACGTGATTGGAATTTGGCAGTTGACGCAACGTTTGCTAATAGCCGCATTACATGCTCATCAGAATAGTCAAATTCGTTTCGGGATCGATGTGACAGGCACGATACTGCTGCATTTTCTACCACATGGTTCAAATTCCCGATGGTTAGAAGTGGTTGAACTTGCCGTGAAGCCACAGATCTCAGCAAAACCTCCTGGTGGTGCGATCAACGCGAATTCCACCACTGGTTTGACAAAAGTGCTAGGTTCAACAGCTATTAGCGGACCTCGAATTCAACGATTCACCATATTTGAGTCTTCCCTTGCCGACGCATACCTAGTTCGAGGTGGCAATCTACTCCTCGTCTCCAACGAAGAACTAACCCTCACTTCATTGAAAGTTCTGACCGCATTGACACGTAGTTCCTCCACACCTGAATCCGAACTGGCCGAAGCGTTTGCGAACAACGCAAAGTATCACGATCAGGTTAGCATCATCTATTCATCCGATCCCGGTCGAAATGTGATTTTCAATTATTACAATCTTGTCACTCAACGTGTTATTCGAGTGACTGGGGACAAGCGTAGCTCTCCGGATGAGAAGTGCAACTTATTTTTCCGTGAGCCACTTTTGGAGGACTATCCGTTTCAAAGTCACATGAGTGATGACGGTCGATTTT